AGTTTGAGGTTGCTGTGAGCTAGGCCGATGCCATGGCACTCTAGCCTGGGCAACAGAGTGAGACTCTGTCAGGGGGGAAAAAAAAAAACAGAGTCACTGGCACAAAAGAAAGTTGTGCCAATGAAGTTTCTAGTCCCAAGGTGGTGAGTGAGCAGAGGCAGGAGTGGTCAGTTACAGCAGGCTTCTAGGATGTAACCTGCTGGCCTTGGCCATGGAAACATGGGGCTCCCTAAAGAGTCCCCCCCCACCCCCGCGCATTCAGCCTCTCTTGGCTAAGCTCAGAGGTGCTGCTGTATGAGGGGCTGATGAACAGCTTCAGACAGGCAAGGGGCAAGAAAGGGTCATATAACCCTGACGTATGACAACACAGTGTTGGGTGTCCTACATGACACAACTCAGAGTGTTGTTCAGGATGCGGAAGAAGAGGAAGGGAGGGAGGAAGAGAGGCGAGAAGGCCCCAGTTGGAATTGCCGTGGGCTCTGGAGTGAGCTCCCCAAGACAGGACAGGGCCCTTCCTACAGAAGGACAGGTGAGTGGGTGCCATGGGAGGACATCTGTCCAGGAATACCCCCCACCAAGGCTCCCTCCCAAATATCTTTCCTGCCAATGCTTAAAGTTTCATCATTATAGATTCATTCTTATGTATTTATCTCCTCCCTTTTAAGTACTTTTTCCATAATAAATGTCAAAATGCTTCTAATAGAAAACTCAGAAAATACAAGGAGGATACAAACAGTTTTTACTCACACTCCCAAGCTCCAAGGCACCCACTGTTAATATTTTGGGGTCTTTCTCTGCCCTCTTTTTTTGTTGTTTTCGGGCACAGTTGTGACTGTCCTGTGTGGGGACTCTGAAGCCACTTGCCCCACTTAGCTTCAGTCCCATTCCAGTCTGATGTTCCAGGAACATCAAGCCCCCCACCACCAAGTGCCTGTGAGTTCTGTGACCTTGAGGAAGTGACCTCGCTTTCTGGGCTTTAGTCATCTGTATAATGGGGACAGTGATGACCCATGGGCTACCTCGCAGTGCTCTAGAGTTGATGCAAGTTGCAAAGGCATGGCGTGTTGCAAAGGCATCGCCAACACAGTTCAAATGTGTGGGACTGATGGACACGTCAGGACAGAACTAGCCAAAATGAGGCCACAGCAAGGAGGATGGGGAAGGACAGGGGGAGGGACAGGTGAGCAAACCCACCTGGCCACTCTGAGCGTCTGCAGGCCCAGCCCTCCTGGGCAGCGGAGTGTCGGGTCAGTGCAGGGACCTTCCCTCGCAGCCTCGGGCGTCCCGGCCTCACTGCTCGGCCCGAGCCATCACCAGCGCAGGCAGCTCGGAGGTGAGAGGAAGGTGCCGGCAGGGACTGCCGCGTTCCCGCGCGCTGGTGGCCTGGCGATGAGCTCCCAGGATTGTCCGACCGGTGCTCTTTGGAGGGGTTGGGAGGCCTGGGGGACCTGGGGCAGGACAGAGATGGATGGCTCCTGAGGGTTTGCTCCAGGTAGGTGGCCTGGCCTGCGGGCAGTGCGGGGGAGACACCAGGGCTGGATTTGAGGCCGCCATCTCAAGGCTTTCGGCTCCATGTCTGAGGCCTCCAAAGTGTGTGTGTGTGTGTGTGTGTGTGTGTGTGTGCACGCGAGAGCACAGGGGGGGAGAGCACGGCCACCCTGAGGGCTGGCTGCCTGGGGCTGCGAAGTGGAGACAGGTAGCTGCACGCGGGCGTCTGAGAATGCTTTCCTCGCATGCCTGTGTGAGCGTGCAGCTCCAGAAGCCGCTGTGGGGCTGCCTAGGAATTCAGACATCCGTGGGGGAGGGGAGGGGCTCTGTGTGTCACTGGATGCCTGGACTTGGGCTGGAGCATGAGTCTGAGCTCAGGAAGGAGTGCTTCTGTGAGCGTGCATCGTGTGTGACAATGTACATCTCTACGGCCCCATAAAAAGGCCACAGACCAAGGTTATAAAATGGCAACAGCATGTTTCCACAGTGTCTACTATGTGCTGAGCCCCGAGCCAGCCTCTGAAGACACAGAGAGAATTAAAACTCAGGCCCGCCTCAAGGAGCCCGCAGAGCAGAGCGGGTGGTGGGCAGAGCGACACACCATCTACGGCGCAAGGCTCTTCGTCCTGAGGGCCACTCCTCATGTCCTTCCTTGGGGATCCCGCCACTGCAGGACGATCCGTTTTCACCTCCGTCTCCTCCTCCATTCTATGAGGAATCCTCCCGTGAGGATCGGCACTTAGAAGGAACATGATACTCTGTAAGGATGTATAATGCAAAGGCCACTGTGAGTCAGGCTGTGCCTGGGTGGCCCTGAGCCAGCCAGCTAGTCCTGAGCAGCCAGTGCAGACGGTCCCACTGGGGCTGAGCTCAGCTCCTGCTGCCATTACTACAGCGGGGCCACCTACATCAGCTACTTAAGCTCACCCAGCCTCAGCTTCCTCACCTGTGCAATGGGGATAATGATCATTCCAGCCTTCCGGGGTGTTTGAGGTTTCAGTGAGACCATGGGCCAGGCATGGCACACACATGCACACATGCACGCACACAGAACTTGGAGCATGAGAGCTGCTGTGGAATTATTGTCGGCAACAAGGAGCTGCTACCTGGGCAGTTCTGTGCAGCCCTGTTGACCAAGAAGGCAGAAGCAGGACTCTGAAGCTTCCATTGGCAAGCTAGGGGTTATCCTGGCAGTCAGAGATCTGACACGGTTCTAACCTCAGGAGGAAGGAGCCTCAGGGTGGGGTCCACACACTGGCTGGTGGGGGCTCAAGAGCATGCATCTGAATACTTTCTACATGGTTTTCACTCTCCAACCACTGAACCACTGATGTCTCACCAAATCTTTGTTTTTGTTGTTGTTTGTTTTGTTTTGTCACCCAGGCTGGAGTGCTGTGGCATCATCATAGCTACTACAGCCTTGAATTCCTGGCTTCAAATGATCCTCCTGCCTCAGCCTCCTGAGTCCCTGGGATTACGAGTGTGAGACACTATGCCTAGCTTCCATTGAATCTTTGGTGCTTCCTCCAACCTCTCTGCATCACCAGCTTTGGTAAGCTGGGTTGACATCAATTGGGTTGATGTTTAATGAGTAACATTGATAGTATGAAATGCTGAAAATGTGTTAATTTGGAAGAATGTGGCCTCTTTACTTCTCCGTGCACATGCATGTTTGTTTGTGCTTATAGGCTTGAGGACAGGAGGGGAAACTGGGGCAGCCCAAGCTAGACCCACTCTCTCCTTACCCGCCCACCCTTGGTACCAACGGGGCATGGCTGGGGCCTGGTGGGGTCTCTCTGCCACTGCAGCCCACAGCTCTGCCTCCTCTCCAACTCACACTGGTCCAGCTCAGACCCCTCTTCCTCTACATCTCCTTGATCTTGGTTCAAGGTCTTATCAGTGAAATGCTGCAACTGGGTCTGACTGACTCCCAGAGCTGACTACGCACAGCTCTTTCTAACTCCGGTGTTCAGGCACGACACCATATTGGTAACTTGAAATCAGTCATGGTGGAAGTATTTAAGAGACAGAAATCAACAAATGACATAAATCAGACACCCATCCTCCCACCCCCACCCCAACCAGCTGTAAACTCTACTAGAAGTTACAACTGATACTGAGTGCCAGCACCAGCTGGACATTTGACATCTTATCTGCACAAAAATCCTGTGAAATATTTTGCATCATCCCTATTTCATATCTGGGGCTCAAAATTTACATAATTTGACTCCAGGTCTTTGCACACCACACTGGGCCATTTGGTCTCAGTAAATAAAACCATGAGGTTTGATAGTGCTGGCAGAGATAATTAAAAGGTCATTGGGTCATCTAACCACCCTGCTCATTGGACAGAGAAACTGACCTCAAAGAGGCTCATTGAGGGGGGGGCTTCTCTGTTAACGCAGCCCATCATAGCAGCTGCCATCTCCCCGACACTTCTCCCAGCCCCCACCATGCTGGTGTCCACTGCAAAGCCAAGGTCGCTGTCACCTGATGTTCTACATGCATGGCTGATTTTTTGGAAACTTTACATGCAGGTCTTGACATTCATTGCAAGTTATATTTTGTTTTGCTTGATTTGACCCAGTGTTCAAGATTCTCAAAAACATTTTAAATCTCACTTGGGTCATTGGCTGTTTGACTCCTTTCTAGACTGGTACCACCCTCTGCTTTGATCACTGCACCTTCCCTGAAGGTATTGGGGTCAAATTTGAAAAAATACAAGCAAGAGGGAGCTTTGGGGCCCGACACTGGAGGTCTCCATTCTATCTGATAGAGGTTCTGGCGTCTACACACCTGGAAATTAGGTCCCTCCTCCCCCGAGGCCCTGCCCACTCCACTGAGTCCGGATTTCTGTGCCCAGGAACATCCGCAGCATCTTGTCACACGCCCACTGAGGCCCATGCAGTGCACCTCACCAGGGCGCCCTTTCCCTTCCCCTCTGACCAAGGCCCCCCCCCAGGACTCCCTTTGCCCGGCAAGAGGGCCCCCCAAGCCTTTGGACCCGGCTCTGCCCTCAGAGTCCGGGACTGCACAGAAGATACCCGACCCCGCGGGCAGGAGAGAGAGTAGCCACGCGACGGGTGTTCCGCAGACCCCAGGCGCATCGCGGCTCTTATCACTCCACCTCCGCTACCTCGGCGGAGAGACTGCGCGTTCCTCCGCCTCAGCCCGGAGAGGCAGAGCCCCCTGAGTACCCGCTCAGTCCCCGCGTCCCCGCGTCCCCGCCTCTCCAGGCCCGGGGGTGGGGGGTGGGGGGGGCTTCACGTTCAGCGGCGCGTCCTCCAGCTGGCGCGGCGCCAGGTGAGCGCTCACCTGCGGCCCGCGGGAGGGGGAATAGGGGCGGGGCGGGGCCCCACCCGCGACGGGGCGGGGCGAGGGCGGCAGAACCAATGGGGCGGGGGGCTCGCCGCCCGGGGGAGGGGGCGCCGCCTGCGCTGCTCCCTCCCTCGGCGGCGCCCGCCCCGCCCCGCCCGGGTTTAAAGCCCCGCGGGCGGCTGGTGGCTGCGCTGCGAGCGCGGAGCGGCGCGAGGAGATGCTAGAGGGCGCCGCGCCGCCCGCACCATGCGCCCACCGCCCGCGCTGGCCCTGGCCGGGCTCTGCCTGCTGGCGCTGCCCGCCGCTGCCGCCGCCTACTTCGGGTCAGTGCCTGCCGTGCCCCCGCCCGCACCCCGGCCCGCCAGTCTCCCCTCCGCCAGCTACAGCAGGGCCAATTTCCCCTCCCGCCGTCCCTCGCCCCGCGAGGTCTCCAACTCAGACTCGAGCCCGGCGGAACCCAGCCCACCTTGCAGTCAGAGTTCTCCCCAAGTTCGATCTCTGCTTCCCCCGCTCAGACTCCGATCGCACCTTCTGGCGTCCGAGTCTCTTGTCCCCTCCGCCGCCGCTGTCCTCCCCTTGCCCAAGATCGCGGACCCTGCGCGCGCCTGGACCCCAGCCCCGTCCGCCCGGCGCGCCCCGGCCCTGCCCGTCCAGGCGTCAGCCGCGCTCTGATGCCCTCTCCGGACCCTCGCTCGGGTGCGCTGTCTGCCCTCACCCTGGCTCGGTCGAGCCGCCCCGGTACCTCGGACTCCTTCCCCACCCTCCGGCTTCGCCTTGCGGGGCCGAGACCCAGGTGGCTGTGTTGCCGCCAAGGCCGGGGACAGAGGACCGTCTGGTCCAAGGGGAGTAGGGGAACCCTGGGCCTGGGAGTGTCAGCTGGAGATGGGGGAGGGAACCGCGTCCGCTGGGGAACTGCGACCAAATTTCAGACCTGGTATCTGTGAATTCTCAGGAGAATGCTGAAAAGAGTGATAGGGCCCGTAGTGTGTGTGTGTTGTGTGTGTGTGTGTGTGTGTGTGTGTGTGTGTGTGCACGCGCATACACGGCTAGAAAAAGGATCACTGTGGGAGTGACAGACACCTGGGGGGAGAGTGAGGCGGTAACCATCATCAGAATGTTGGGAGCAAAAGTGATTTAGGGCAATTATTCGAGTCCCTTCTTCTCTGACCCTGAATTGCAGGGACATGGCGGTGGCGGCACCACCGGTAAGAAGGCACCTTCCAACCCTCCGCCCAAAGCCAAGTCCAATACGTGCAGTCTGTTCCTTTAAACCTTGCCCCCTTTTAAAGTCTTTACCCCACATCAGAGTGAGGTTTACAGTCTGACTCCATACAGGAAAGGCAAGAAAACACCAAGCAGGTGACCTGTGGGTGGCTGCTTCTAAGAAGTAGCCCTGGAGGGGTGGGTAAGGTCTGGGAAGTCCTGCACAGGCTGGAATAAGGGCTGTGGGCTAATTTCCAGGTCATGACCCCTGGTTAAAACGTGCCTTGCTGTGGGCAGTGGCTTTCCCTGAAATATACAGGGAGGGGAGGGGAGTGCCAGCCCAGACCCTAACTCTGGGCTCAGCTTGCTGGTGACCTGGGAAAACCACTCAGTGTCTGGACCTTAGTTTCCCCTTTTGCACAAAGAAGGGGCTGAACTTGATATGACTGAGCTTCTAGTGACCCACCCCAAGAGTAGTGCACATACATGAAGTTTGTTTCCTGAAGATTTCTGGCTTGAGGAACTGTTGCCTCAGCAGGTGGGAGGACATAATGGGTAGGGCACTCTGGGTCCCATCTTGCCACTTGCTAGCTGTGTGCTCTTGGCCAAGTTACTTAACCTTTCAGTCCCTCAGTCTTCCTTCTGTAAAATGAGGGTTATAGTGCTTATTTCATAAAAGGATTGAGTTAGGACATATAAAGGACACAGAACAGTGTCTAGCACATAGTAAATGCTCAACTAATGCTAGTGATTATTATTATTATTACGAGGAAACCAGGTACCATATCCTGATATCCCAGCTATGACAGTTTTCTGAGCTGGAATAAGAGGGGGAGGACAGATGGTACCTACATGCTCTTGGACACCAGCTCAAGCGGGGTGAGAGGAGAGGCGTTTCAGGAGGTCTGGACCATCCTGGCTGGTGTGTTGGAAGGGGGAGGAATTCCCAGAAATGCACAGGGTTAGAATTTGGGGGCTGTGAGTAGGGGCAGCCTTGGAACTGAGAAGAGAGATGGCTACTTAGGCCTGGGTTAGGGCTGAGAGGGGTGAGTATTCGAGCCACCTCTTCTAGGTCACGAGCCCAGCTGAAAAGAGCTGGCAAACATACACTCAACAAACATACACTCAAACAAAGAGCCGGTACATACACTCAGGCCAACGCCATCCCGGTCTGGGGAGCAGGACAGAAGCTCAGAGAATAAGCTAAAATTGGAGCCTTGTGCTGGAAGTGTTGATCTCAGAGAACAGACGAGATTCTGCCTGGGCTCTCACGGAGGAAACTCTCTCATGACTCAGACCAGGTTTCCCAGCTTCTCATCAGAAATTTGCTCTCTGGGAGGAGTCAGATATCAGTCATCCACACTGTAGTGAGAATGTGAGGCAATGTGCATCTTCCTTCCCTGGGCCATTTGCATTTGAAGTCTCATTTCTGGTTATACCATGAAGTGTTTGGCAACCTGATGAAAGAGCAGGAGAGCAGGTGAGGCCGATTTTGGTGAGGCCAAACTTCTTGAGGGTTTCTGAAATCACAGAACCATAGACTTAAGAGTTGGAAGTAGGCCGGGCGTGGTGGCTCACGCCTGTAATCCTAGCTCTCTGGGAGGCCGAGGCGGGTGGATTGCTCGAGGTCAGGAGTTCAAAACCAGCCTGAGCAAGAGCGAGACCCCGTCTCTACTATAAATAGAAAGAAACTAATTGGCCAACTAATATATATAGAAAAAATTAGCCGGGCATGGTGGCTCATGCCTGTAGTCCCAGCTACTTGGGAGGCTGAGACAGAAGGATCCCTTGAGCCCAGGAGATTGAGGTTGCTGTGAGCTAGGCTGACGCCATGGCACTCACTCTAGCCTAGGCAACAAAGCGAAACTCTCTCAAAAAAAAAAAAAAAAGAGTTGGAAGTAACTCTAGAAGGATCTCTGGTCCAACTCCCTGTTTCAAATAGGTCATGTATGATTATGTCCATTTTTCAGATGGGGCAACCCCCACCCCAGAGCACTGTGAGGCCACAGTTGCTCTTTTTTTTTTTTTTTTAAGACAGAGTCTCACTTTGTTGCCCAGGCTAGAGTGAAACACAGTTGCTTCTTGTGCTAGAGCCTAATTCTCTTCATGGTGACAATATCGTAGTAACTAGTATTCAGTTTACAAATCACTTTCTCATAGAGCTCCTTCTCTCATCTGATCCTTGGAGCCATCCCCAAGGGATATAAGATGTGTGTAAATAGTTCCCACAAGGAAACTGAAGGTCAGAAAGGTTCAGTGAGTCACCTGATGTCACACAGCAAATTAGTGGGGGAGGCAGGATAGAAACCAGGTGCTGCCTCCAGTCTGGGCTTTTCACCCTATGGGGAACAGTCTCAGGCCTGGCCATGCGAGCTCATTCTGTGGGACCCCGCGGGGGAGCAGTGGCTGCAAGGGAGCTGCAAAGGGTGGAGAGGGGAGGGGAGGGGAGGCCGCTCAGTTAACTCTCTTAGACTCTCTTGGCTGTAGCAGGCTAGGCGAGGCCACAACATTCTTCTCTGTCCTCAGCAGTGAGACGGGATGCTCTGAGCCCTGCTGGGCTGTCAGGTGGGCTCAGAGGATGGCATGGTGGCAGTGGGACAGGAGGTGGACCAGAGGTCAGGGACTGAATTTGTCCTGGCTCTGGGACACTCTCTGGGTTGTCCTTGGTCAAGTCACTTGTCTCCAGGGTCCTTAGCACCTGGAGGTCCTAAGGTTCCCTAAGCCTACCAGGCCTGCTGCTGGCTCTAGAAATCTAGGCTTACCCAAGAGCTTATATTTTGGCTTGGATGACTTGAGAATTCTGCAAATATTAACTTCTGTGATGTTTTATAAATGAACACGTGCATTATGCGATGAGAAGGGCACATGACAGGCCCTGTCACCCAATCCAGTCTCTAAGTCATCCCAGTGGCTTTGTAACTAACTAGAAATAGGTCCTGTGGATGCAACTTTTTAAGATCATGGTTGATTTTTGGTGATGCTTTTGTGTGACCTACAATGGTTCACTTACTTTCCTCTCTAGGGAGAGAATAGAGAAGTTTATGAAAGCACAAGATTTTGAGTCTGGGATTTGAATCTCAGCTTTGCCTTTTGCTAGCTCTGTGATGTTGGGTGAATGTCTTAACCTTGCTGAGCCCCAAAGGATCCCTTGTGCATCTTTCCAGTCAACCATTCTCTACCAGTCCCGGGCTACCCCACTTTTCTGCTTCCTGTCGCTGTAAATTAGTTTTGCCTGTCCTAGAAGTTTATATAAATGGAATCATATGGTATGTAGCCTCTTGTGCCTGGATTATTTTGCTCAACGTGTATTTGAGATTCCTTCATGTTGTTGCATATGTCAATAGCTCACTCCTTTTTCTTGCTGAGTATTCCACTGTATGGCTGAACCACAAATTGTTTCTTTGTTCTCTTTGCTGGTCATTTGGGTCATTTCCAGTTTCAGGCTGTTCCAAATAAAGCTAGTATAAACATTCATGTACATCTCTTTTTGTGGATACATGTTTTCCTTTCTCTGGATAACTGTCTAGGACTGGATTATTGGATCACTGAGGTTTTACTTTGTACTTCTCCATTGATGAATGGAGTGTTGAACATTTTTTTATGTGCATATTGATTATTTGGATATCATTTTTATTGAGTTACTAATATTTGTCCTCTTATTGAATTGTAGACATTCTTTACATATTTTGGATTCATGTCCTTTGTCAGAAAGTATTGGCAATATTTTATTTCTGTCTGTGGATTGACTTTTCATTTTCTTATTGGTGTCTTATAAAGAGCAGAAGTTTTTAATTTTCATGAAGTCCAATGTATCAAACTTTTCTTGCATGGTTTGTTTGCTTTTTTGATGTCCTTTTTAAGAAATCTCTATCTACCCAAAAGTTGTAAAAGTTTCCTCCTGTATTTTCTTCTAGAAGCTTCATAATTTTATCTTTTACACTTAGGTCTATAATTCATTTTTGAGTTAACTAGTGTATATGGTGTGAGGAAGGCTTATCATTTTCCACATGGAGATCCACTTGTTTCAGTACCATTTGTTGAAAAAGAAATGTTTTCTTCATTGCCGTCTTTGTTGCAAATCAATTGATCCAATATGTGTGTGGGTCTACTTCTGGACTATTCTGTTCTGTCTATGTGCCTATCCTTATGCCAATACCACACAGTCTTGATTACTGTAGCTTTATAGTAAGCCTTGAAACCAAGTACTATAAGTTCTCTAATTTCTTTTTCAAAATTGTTTTGGCTTTTCAGGAACATGATATTTCTACATAAATTTTAGTAGCAACTTGTCAATATCTCCATGAAAACCTGCTGGGATGTTTTATTGGGATTGCATTGAATCCATAAATCAATTTATAGAAGATTGACATGCCAACAACATTGAGTCTGTTGATTCATAAACATATCTCTCTATTTAAAAATGCCTCTCTATTTTAAGGGCTTTTTAAAATTACTTACGGCAGTGTTTTATAGTTTGCAGTGTGCAGGCCTTGCAAATACTTTTTAAAAAAATGATTCCTAAGTGTTTTATGCATTCGGATGGTATTGTTTTCATTTTTTCAAACCCCACATTTTTAGAAATTGATTGAGGCCCTGAGAAAAACAGGGTTGGTAGGAAGAAAGGGTAAAAGAAATTTTACTGCTTTGGGGGTGGTGGATTGAAAGCCAAACATCACTGATAAGAATCATTGTGTTTTAGGAAGGAATTTAGGCAGCTTGTCCCTCGCTGAGCTGTGTAGCCCCTGAGGAGTTGGGCTCAGGCTCAAACTAGCCTCTCTTGTGGATGGAGGTAGAGTTTCTATGGCTGAGGAGGGGAAGGACGTAGGGCAGGGGGACTCCTGGGCTGAAATCTCCTAAGGAAGAGAAATCCTGGTGCCTTTGAGATTAGGTACCCGGTAGAAGTTGGGCTCTGGAGGAGGTAGGCCAGGTGCTGTGAGGGCGACCCTCGCCCTGGCATCAGCATGAGCAGGCTGGCAGGGAGGTGGCTGAGGCACTTGCTATAGTGTAAGGAGCCCTGGGCTTGGGTCTCACGGATCAGAGTTCAAATTTTCCATCCACCATTTACTAATTGACCCAGGGCAATCAGCCATTCTGACCTCAGTTTTCCCATCTGAATAATGGGTTAATCTTTACCTCTTAGGGTTGTTGTGAAGGTTAAATAAGTGTGTAGAAAAGTACTGAAACACTGTCCATATGTAAAGAGTCCAAGAAATCTAGTGTTCTGCCTTACTGCATCCCTAGTTAAGTTGTGCCTTTGGTGACATCTGTTCCTTCCTCTCTGCATCTTTATCCCAGCCCCTGTACAACTCAGAGCAGATTGAACCTCTCCTGTGCTCGGCACTCTGTGTGCACCATCTCATTTAGCCATTGTGACAGCCCAAGGGGTGGATGCTGGTACAATTATCCTCATTTATAGGTGAGTGGGGTGCAAGCTCAGAGAGGCCAAGTGCCTGGTCCAAAATCACACAGCTAGTGGCTAGCAGCTCCAAGACCTGAATTCTGCCTGTCGGAATCCAGAGCCCTCCTCTTCATCCCTGCCTCGTGCTGCCTGTGGAGCCCCGGGCTGGAGGCCTGCCTCCCGGCGGCAGCGCTGACCCTCGGAGCCCTCACTCTGCTGCCCAGGCCACTTGGCCTGTGTCCTGGCATGTCTTGCACTGTGTGTCTTAAACTCGTGGTTTGTTGCCTAATTTTCTAGGTGCTCCTGTCTCCGGTTCACTCGTAGTTCCCTTTGGCAGAGATCGTGGGGCCTGTTGTTGGCTGAGTCCCCACAGCCCCTAGTGTTGCTCCCTGGTTCGAGGGAATGTCTGGGTGGGCAGTATCCTGTCCCTCTCGCGGGCCCTTCCTTTCTCCTGGGACCTCCCTCTGTGCCCCACCACACTTGCTCCCTCACCTTCAAGCACTTGGGTCTCTGGGGCATGCGCGACTTCACCACGGCCTGGCTTCTGTCAGGGTGGGAACTGGACTCAGAGCAAAGAGCAGAGACTTGCCCCTGTCGGGCTCCAGAAAGTCAGACCTCAGGCGTTTCATGGCAGCTTGACGGGGGACAGGGCAGACTGCAAGGGCCAGACTCCCTTGCTGGAGAGATGAAGGCTGGAAGGGAAGGTGGAGAGTCTTAATGAAGCAGAAGAAACATCAACCATATTTTTCCAGTTAGTCCTGGAAAAGCCAAAGAAGCTGGCTTTAGGTCAAGATCAGAGGGTCTGCTTTTCTTGACGTTACAATCCCTTTGAGGCCAAATACATTTCAGACCTCAAAATTAATTCCTTTCTCTCTTTTCTTCCCTCCCTTCCTCCTTCCCTCCCTTCCTTCTGTCCTTCCTTCCCTTCCTCCCTTCTCCTCGCGCTCTCCTCCGCCGCTTTCTCCCTCTTCTCCCTCCTCCTCGCTCCCTCCTCCCTCCTCCCCTTCCTTCCTTCCTTCCCTTCCCCCCTCCTCTGCCTCTCCTCCTCTCCTTCCCTTTCGCCTGTCCCTTCCTTCCTGCCCCTCCTCTCCCTTCCCTCCCTCCCGTCCTCTCCCTTTCTCTTCCTTCCCTCCTTCCCCCTCTGCTTTCTTGTCTTTGACAGAGTTTCACTCTGTCACCCCAGCTAGGTGTGCTGGCATCAGCCTAGCTCACTGCAACCTCCAACTCCTGGCCTCAAGTGATCCTCCTGCCTCAGCCTCCCAAACAGCTGGGACTACAGGTGCATGCCACAACATCCAGCAAATGTTTTTCTATTTTTAGTAGAGACCGGTCTGCTCTTGCTCAGGCTGGTCTCGAGCTCTGACAGCAAGTGATCCTCCTGCCTCAGCCTCCTAGACTGCTAGGATGACAGGCATGAGCCACCACACCTGGCCCTCAAAATTTCTTTTTGAATTTCAGAAAGGTAATAAATATATTGTAGATACCATGCATAACATAGCACCTCTAGCTCTAGGAGCATCTCATAATTAGGCTCTTTGTTATTTTTTTTGCAGGAACATATCTACAGGTTGGGATAAATAAAGATCATAATATTCTCACTTTCATTTGAGTCAGGATGGAGCTGTCTCATCATCGAGTGGCCACGCACAGGCATTCCCCAGAGGCTGGCCCTTCTGGGGCCCACAGTCCAGCCTGAGCCTCCCTGTCCGTGGGGAAAAGGGTGACCAAAGCCCAGGGAGCACTCAAGAGTCTGCCAAGCTAGTTAGTTGATCAACTTGCCCCAGTTAAATAACTTGGCCGAAGTCACCCAGCCCAGAGGCCAGGATCCCTAGCTGGGGTGGAGCTTGCCACAGGGAGGTACAGCCTCGGTGACTGCTTGCCTTTCCCTGCAGTCCCCACCCCATGTCCCAAAGCTGACCCCCCTGAGTCAGAGCTGGGCCTGTGAACCCAAGAAGCTGGGAGGCTTGTCTTTAGGGTTTCCAGACCCCCCTTTTCTCTGCTTTTCCCCATCCCCATGCCAGGCTCCCCCTTCTCTCCCTCTTCATGATCCTAGGCCCTTCTCTTTGATCTTTCCTCTGTCTAGCAAAGTATGTTCTCAGGCACCATTGTTGTATCAGACTCTCACACTTTAGTATGAATCGCAGGCCACTTCTATAAGACTTTTTTCTGACTTTTAGCTAAAAAGAGACTGTGTTTCAGACCAGGGTAAAGTAGACTTTTAAGCAGAGGATCTTTCTCTCCCTTCCTGAGGCCCTACCTCTTGGGCTGCTCAGAGGAGTCCTGCTCAGGCTTCCTTCCCCTAAAACCTACCAGTCTTGTGTTTCCATCACCTTAGATGTCTGCTGTGGCTGTCGGATTTTGCTTCCTTGAAGTGTTACGTTGAGACTGAAAGCAGAAACTGCCAGGCTTGGCAGAAGCAATCAGGAGACCCGGGGCATAGTCCCAGCCCTGCCACTGAGTGGGGTCACCTTGGACAGGAAATCTTCCATGAACTTGCAGGGCACCAGACAGGTCAAAGCAGAGACCTGCACACGTAGCAAACCTCTTGCCCTCTTTACTTCCCCCCAGCAGCCTCTGAGATGCCTCCCAGGAGCCACCAGAGAAAAACCTCTGGACCTGGTGACCTCGGAGGGTTTCCCCAGCTCTAAAATCTAACAGTTTGAACGGTGTACATTGGACCCAGCCAAGGGACTGGGGGAGATGTTTATATTCACAGACTTGTAGAGGTGAGGGATCTCTCTGCACAGGAGTGACTTCGGGGACCCTCCGTGGCATCCGTGCCACCTGAGACATGCACACCAGGGACAAAGGCTTCCTCTCCTCGGCTTCAGCCTGAGCCTGAGCAGAGACGGAGAGAGGCAGGAGGGAGGGAGGGGAAGCGTTTCCTCCACAGATGTGGCACTAGCCACGCTCTCAATCCCTGAGGTGGTTGAGATGCAAAGCATGCTCCCCGGCTGTCGCTGCCCACTCAGCTCCTGCGCACGTCTCTGCGGTGCCATCCTCAGCGGGCAGCCCGGCTGCGAAACAGGAAGTGGAGCTGTTCTTGGAGAGACAAAGCCCACAGCTGGGCCAGGCTCTTTCCTCTGGGAGCCAGGGATGGGTGGGGGCCGAGGCTCTGGGGCGGGCTCCAGGGGGAGGTGGCGGCCAGAGTCAGTCCTGGGGTGGGTGCCTGGGCGGAAGGTAGGGGCCGGGGAGGGAAGGAAGGCTGGATCCAGCAGCAGGAGGAGGAGCCACCCAGGGGAGGAGGGTGGTCTCGTGGTCTGTGGGTGGACCTGGCATGAAGCAAGCACCCAATAAAGCCCTTTATAGTCATACTTGTGTTTATTGCTATTCGGTAAATAAAGGTATAAATAAATGAGCGAGCGAGTGAAAGGAGAGAATAGAGGAAGTGGGCGTGAAAGTAGGAACCAGGAGCTGCCGCATTTGCCAAGCTGCACATTAAGTACATCACAGGGGACGTGCGCGGTGACATGGAGCCCATAGAGGAGAAAGGAGACTGAAGGTGGCAGGGAGGATGTTCTGCTCAGCACAGTCACCCTGAGGGCCCCTCAGGGTGACGGGAGGAGAGGAGAGAGGCCAGGGGTGGTGCTGAGGGTCCCCTCTCTGAAGAGGGGCTGCCCGGTGCCACGGTGCCCATCTTGTTGGGCCGCGCACTGCCCTCGCTGACCTGCCCGCCGCTGGGCAGAGGTCAGGAGCGGAGAGCACGGGAGGGGTGTGTGTGTGAGTGTGTAGGGGCGCAGCGAGGGCCAGCAGAGGTGGACTGAGATGTTTGAGATGAAAGCACAAAGGGAGCATTTACCATGCAAATGGCCCCGCAGCGGAAGCTTGTTATCGGGGCATCTCACGGGGCTTTGCAGGGCCAAGGCCAACACCCCAGGCGGCACAAGGCTTTCCTGGTTCCCAGGCAGCTGCCTGCAGTTGGCATGGGCCCTGGTGCCAGGCCCACAGCTCCTGGACCTTGCAGCTAAGACTCCAGACACGCTGGCATAACCTGGTGCCCTGGAAACCACCCGCCTTGTCCCATGCCACCTCCCCACCCACATCCTGGAGGCAGCCTCTGCTGGCCCCATCGGACCCTCTCAAGCAGAAACAAGGATGGGAGTGGGTCTGGGAGAACAGAGCCTGGGCCGCCCCTGGGGGGGGTGAGAAAGGCTCTAGACACCTGCCTGGCCTTCCCCGGACAGCCTGGGGTGCTCCCCGAGAGCCTCCTCCTGCCTCGTTCCCACCCCCAGGCCTCCCACTGCAGGCAGGACAGGACTGGCCATGGCCAGGTCCTCACCCTGACAGTGCTGAGAGTTTGGATCTGGGTCCCTGAGCAGCTACCGATTGTTGCCCAAGGAGACAGGCCGCTTCAAAGCTTTCTCTTCCTTCCCCTGCTCCCTGGAGAGTTTGGCCTCCTGAGTCCAACCCAGCTCCCTTCAGACTGTGAGCTTCTTGAGGGCAGGGCCGTGTCCCAGCACCCAGCACAGTGCCTGGCACATAGTAGGTACTTGACAACGACAAATACTCATCTGGGGTTTACCATGCACCGGCACTGTTCTGCATTCAACAGATAAAGCACGAAGAGGTAAAATACCTTGCCCAAGGTAGCACAACTAGGAAGAGGTGGAGGCAGGATTTGAGCCCAGGCAGCTCGGCTCCGGTCATGCTCTCCCACAAGCCAAGGTGTATCTGTCCAGTGGAATGAGCTCAGGGGGTAGAGGAGTCCCCAAGTCACCCTGAGGAAGTGGGACTGGCCAGACACACCAGACCGGAACAGCCTTGGAGCATGAGGTCCTTGGGTCCCCATGCTCCAGCAGGTGGTGGGTGATTATTGAAGGGCAAGCTCCATTTCTTCTCAGGGGTTCGATGGTCCCTGGGGTCCTGCTGATGGCAGGTGAAGCATGACCTGGGACGCTTCCCCAAAGCCTGGCAGAGCCTCTTCTGCTTCCTTCAAGTCACCCCGATGGGGGAGCTTTAGCTGAATCCGAGGATGGGGTAAGCACCGGCGAGTGTGGAAGGAGGTGGGGCCGGAGGGGCCAGGAGTGGGCCGAGGAGATCTGGGGGTGGGGTGTATGTGGGATGAAGTCCTGGGGGCACCCTTGACTTTTCTCACTCTAGGGGAAGACAGGGTGATCTGGCAAGTGGCTGGAGATGCCCTGGGCTCCAAGCCACGCATCTCATGTGTGGGGGTGGGGGCTTCTGGTCTCACCCTCAGCCTGACCACTAAGGGCCAGGCGATGAGGGTGCAGACAGCAGCGGGGCACAGATGGGGCGTAACCAAGTGAGGAGGAGGAGGAAGCTGATCACGTGGGATCATTGCTTTATTAGTGGGAAAAGAAAGGCTGGAAGCCAGCCTGGGAGAGCCCAAGGAGGACTGGACTTGGGGAGACCAGCTGGCCAGGGCAGGTGCAGCCTGATGGAGTGGGGGGTCCCAGGCGGCTCAGGAGCACTTGAGTCAGGCAGAAAAGCACGCAGCCCGAAGACGATTAGAAGTTTGCAACGTTTCTTTACATGCATACAATGAAAAGAACACAAGAATGACAGAACAGTGTCATCATCAAAACCCCCAATTTCTTCTGGATTCATAAGGCTAATAAAGCTCACTCAGCTTCTCTGTTTGTCCATCTTACCCCCGTGGGGCTCAGCTGACATGTGTGTAATAGGGATTTCACAGAGGGACCCGGTGGGTGGGGTTCTCAGGCCTGGGGGTCCAGAGAGTATGATTTCTTCCTGGAGAGGGAATCATACCTGCTGACCACTGAACAAAAGCTGGAAACTGCAACACTCAGAATTCTCCTGGGGTCCAGGAAGAAACCTTCCCAGCAGATGCCATGAGACAGGCATGCATAGGAGAATTCACTAGCATGATTTGAGGAACTAGGTTGACTTGTTTTCTAAATTCGATGTCAGCCTGAGCAACATAGCAGACCCTGTCTCTACACAAGAAAAGAAAGAAAGAAAGAAAGATTAGCTGGGCATGGTGGCATGCACCTGCAGTCCCAGCTCCTCAGGAGGCCGAGGCAGGAGGACAACTTGAGCCCAGGGGTTGGAGCTTGCAGTGGGCTATGATGATGCCACTGACTCTAGCTTGGGCAACAGAGTGAGACCCTAGCTCAAAAAATTAAATAAATAAATAAATTTGATGTCCTGGTACTATTTCTTCAAAGGAAATATGATCCCAAACCATAACACAGACAGCAAATAAAAGGGAAACTGGGCTCTGGAAGGTCTCCCAGGCTGTCTTCCTAGGCCCTGCTGGGTCCCTGAGACAGTGCCAGGGAGCCTTCTTTGAGAGCAGCCTTGGGCAGACCAGGGCCTGGCGTGGCCTGAGGCTTCTGTGCGGTTGGCTGCCTTTCCTGACCATTAATCGCTGCTAAGTGTCATTACCGCTAATAAAATTAACCGACTTTATACTGGACTCCTGGAGCCATCAATCTCAGGGTCTATTACGTGAAATTAAAGAAAACAGGTGCCTGTTGATGAGTGTGAGGGTGTTTGCTGGGCCGGGCTCACAAGTGCGGTCGAGGGAATTCCCCCTGTGCTCTGCAGCTGTCAATAGGCCGTAATCAAGGATGACTCTCCTTATTTGACGAATGACTCTGAACCTTCACTCCACACCATGGGGGTGTCTCAGGCAAGAGCACAGCTGTGCCTCGGGAAGACTCTGAGGCCAGAGATGGAGAAGCTCCTCAAAGTCTCCCTCCCACTCTCACCTCTGCTTCTCTTGGTGCATTTCGTTAATTCTTTACTTTCTCTCTTTGGATGAGCTTTCTTGGTTTATCTTCTGTGTTTCAAACCCAGTCATCCAAAGACACAGAGAAAGAGAGAGAAAGAACTATATGTTCTCCTAATTCAAATTCCAGATTCTGAGAGAAAGAACTGTATGTTCTCCTAATTCCAATTCCAGATTCCAAGAGAAAGAACTGATTGGCCCAGCTTGGATCATGTGACCATCATTGATCCAATCAACAGGCCAGCAGGATCACATGGTATAGAATGGCCTACAAGGGCCACATGGTAGGGTACCCATGTAGATGGAAGGAACAGGTGGGCAGCTAACCAAATAGGTGTCCACCAGATTAATTTAAAGGGCTTAGCAGTAAGCACTCAAAAATGGCAGGTATACAAATATATATAACATTACAAATGTAATAAATATAGTATATAATGTATTATATATCGTATAAAATGACATATAATATAGCTGTCATGACATAATAATAGCTATTATTCTTAAAATGGCATCTGAGATGGGCCTTGAAGGATGTGCAGCCCCATTGTCTAGAATTTCCATCACTCCCTGCTAGCTCTCCCGTCGATGAGTTTCTACAAGGGTGGTGTCGGCTTCTGGAACACAGGAACTGTGTGAGCAGAAGTTGCCCCTCACGCCAGCCCCTGGTGGGGGGAGGAGGACAAATGAGGGGCTGGAGAGCTGCTGCCCCCTTTGCTGCCTGCAGCCCCCATGCCGCCCTCCGTGCTGGAAGCCAGTCAAGGCGGGGCCTCCTCAGCTGGGGTTGACTTTGGCTCCTGCTCTGGACCTGCCAAGGGTCAAGCTCTGAGGGTTTCCTGCCAGGCCGTAGGGAGGGGTTTGGGTGTAGACCTGGTGGACTGGAAATTTACCCATTTGCCCCCAGCTTAATGATTAACGGGCCCCTGCCCTCACCCTGTCTGGGAGAGGAGCCCAGGGCCAGGCTGGCCAGGAGGAGCCCGATAGCATCTGTCTCTGCTTGGAGGTTTCGGAGATATGCTCACACCGGCTTGGCTGCACCTGATGGGTTTGGAATCCACGGGCAATTTCTGAGGGCACCTGGGGCCTGGCCAGGCCCCTCGCCCTCCGGTGAGGCTTCCTCCTTCGGGGGCACACAGAGAGGGTGTGGCCTGCAGCCAGATGTCCTGGCCGAGGCAGGCGGCTCCACACAGAAGAGCTGTGCCGTTGGCTCAGTGGGATGTGGCCCTGCCTGACACCACTGGTTTGTCCACAGGGCTCTCACCTTGGCCAGTGGCACGTAAACAACAGTGGCAAGTGCCATATCCAGGCAGGAGCTTTAAGAGCCACTGCCTGGTTCCACCACTGCTCCTTCACCCTGACTGTGGGGCTGGCATGTCCCAGAATCATGTATATTCCACCCACGTGGATGGGGGCACCAGGGTATATAGGTCAACAGACATTGCAAACTAGTACAACCATCTCACCGACAGCTCCTGGGAAAGGGGGGTGGTGAACTCTAATTCCAGTTCTCACATCGCTGCTGATCTGTTGTATGATCTGGGCCAGTCTCTGCCTCTTCATAAAACTTTTTTTTTTTGAGACACAGTCTCACTCTGTTGTCCGAGCTAGAGTGCCGTGGCATCAGCCTAGCTCACAGCAACCTCAAACTCCTGGGCTCAAGTGATCCTCCTGCCTCAGCCTCCTGAGCAGCTGGGACTGCGGGCATGCGCCACCATGCCCAGCTAATTTTTTTTCTATGTATTTTTAGTTGGGCAATTAATTTCTTTCAATTTTTAGTAGAGATGGGGTCTTGCTCTGGCTCAGGCTGGTTTTGAACTCCTGACCTTGAGCGATTCACCTGCCTCGGCCTCCCAGAGTGCTAGGATTACAGGCGTGAGCCACCGCGCCCCGCCACATAAAACCTTCTTTTCCTCATCTGGACAAAGGGAGACTCTGCCTAGTGAGGGAGCAAAGCCTCTGGTTAGAGGAGAGATGTTTGGGAAGCTCCAGCTATTAGGAGAGTAAGCCTGTCCCAGGCCCTATGGCTAGTACATTTTGTATAATCCTCCCAGCAACCCCAGGAGGTAGAGAGGATCAAACTTCCCAATTTCCAGAGGAGAAAAACCAAGTTTACAAGGTTGCACAGCTAGGAAGTGGCAGAGTCAAGCTTAGACTTTGGCAGTCTGACTCCAAATCAATGAGCTTTGGATGCAGGAGAACAATCAGTTTGGGATTGATAACCTGATAGAAATTCAGCTCTTTCTCCTTCATCTAACCATCTGTCAGTCTTTCCCTCCCTCCCCCTCTCCTCCCTCCCTTCCTTCCATCCTACTTCCCTTCATCCCTCCCGTTCCCCAAGCATCCATTTATACCCGGGCACCCTGAGTGGTCAGATGGTTGAAGATCTACCTGGGAGATATGGGAACAGGTTATGGGGGTATGGGATTACTTGAGTAGCATCATAATGTAAGCGAGAGGGGTGTCAGGGGACCTTGGCTGGTGTCTGCTCAGCGTTCACATGCCCTCTGCCTGCCCCCACTTAGGAGTGTGTCTCTCCCTTCCAGGTAGTGACCCATACTATGTGCTAGTTCCCAAATCATAGAAGCTGCCCAGGGGATGGCATAAATATACAGATTCCCAGGCCCCATTCCAGACCAATAGAATCCAAATTGCCAAGCATGAATCCTGGGAATCTGTATTTTTAATAAACACCCCGGATGAGCTTTCTAATCGGCCAGTTTGGGAAACTGGGTGGGTACAAAGAGCAGAGACCGAAACCTGGAAAATGCGGGTTCGAGTCCTGCACCAGCCCTTGTTATACATGCCCTGCTTTTCCTACTCTGCAATATGGGGACGTGACTCCCACGGGGTCAGCCTGCCGCCCAGAAGGGCAATAAATGAAGCTCCCAAGAAGGCCCCCTTCCCTCCGTGGCCCCACATGGCCATCCACGAGGCCCACCTGTGTCCCTCCTCTCACCCCCCCCCCCACAGCCTCACCGGGCGGGAAGTCCTGACGCCCTTCCCAGGCCTGGGCACTGATGCTGCCCCGGCGCAGGGCGACGCCCACCTCAAGCAGTGTGACCTGCTGAAGCTGTCCCGGCGGCAGAAGCAGCTCTGCCGGAGGGAGCCTGGCCTGGCTGAGACCCTGAGGGACGCTGCCCACCTCGGTCTGCTCGAGTGCCAGTTCCAGTTCCGGCACGAGCGCTGGGACTGCAGCCTGGAGGGGAGGATGGGCCTGCTCAAGAGAGGTAGGGGGAGGGCTAGGGGGGAGGAGGACGGTGGGGGGAGGGGCGGGAGGAGAAGGGCTGGGGGTGGGAAGGGCTCGGGAGGACCACCCTTCCCCCTGCCCCTGTGCCCAGGCCACACTGCCCTCGCTAGTCTAGCACAGCCACAGGGGAAAAGAGTCCTGGGCATCGAGGGTCTGGTGAGGGCCAGCTGTGGCCCAGCCTCAGGTTTGGGGAGCAGAGGAGCAAGGGAGATACCAGAGAGGAGGAGACAGAAGCCCATGCCTGGAGGAGCCCACAAATGAGCTACATGGTCCCCTAATCACCCCCCCCCCCATGTCCTGCACACACACGTGTGTAAGAACATACAAAGATGGAAGGCAGTGGTGACGGGACAAATGACACGAGACAGGCCAACACATGTTCACTCATCCATCTGCATCTTTGTTGATCACATCTTTTTATCCATCATCCCTCCTCCCCACCCTTCCTCCCTCCCTTCTCCCCGAGTCCCTCATGGCTCCCCATCCACTCGCTAAGCATCTGCTGAGGCTCTTGGCGAGCAGGGCACAGTGCTAGGTGCTGAACAAGGCCCCTTCTGCCCTCGGGAAACACATAATCCACAGGGGAGACAACGGGCCATCGTGTGACTCCATCACCAAGGAGGAGGGCCATGATGGGGACTTTTACAGAAATGCAGCGATGCTGTGCGGGGCAGCCAGGCCCCTCCTGGGCCAGCTGCTCTCTGGGGACAGAGCTAATGCCCTGCCCCTCCCCACCACTTCTCTCTCTCTCTCTGGTTGTCACCAGTGCCTTAGGTGCACTGAAGAGCAGGCAGGAGGTGGCGAGCCCGTGGGAGGCCAGGTCAGGTGTGGGCCCCGTCCCAGAAATGAGGAGTAGCAACGTATGGCAGGGGGTGGGATGGCCAGTCCGTGGCAGGCCAGGCAGGAGACTGAAGTCACTCTATCATTGGGTCTAGTCCACTGTGGGTGGCATCATGAATCCTAGAAGCCCACAGGGCACATCTCAGCAATCGGGGGCCTCCGAAATGGGTTGGTCCAGCTTGTCGCACATGGACTTGGAGTCCAGATGGCTGGGTCAGCCCCCTCTGTGGCCCTCACTAGAGCCTGAGTGTCTTCTCTTTGCATCTCAGGGTTCGTGTCTGTTAAGTAGAGGCAGCGACTCCTGTCCTGCTGCCCTCTGGGCCCTGCGCACACACTCCATAGTGAATTTGGAAATTCCATTTAGACAGCAATTTGCAGCCTGAGTTTGAAGGGCAGGTGACAGGGAGGCTCACCCGGAGATGTGTCCTCAGGCCCGCCACCACATCTCTGCCACTCCCCCCTCCTGCCCTCAGAGGGTGGCGGGCAGCCTCTGAGCTTCCCCCTGTCCTCCTTCCTGACCCCGCTGGGCGGGCGCCCGCACAGGTTTCAAAGAGACGGCCTTCCTGTACGCGGTGTCCTCGGCCGCGCTCACCCACGCGCTGGCCCGGGCCTGCAGCGCCGGGCGCATGGAGCGCTGCACATGCGATGACTCTCCGGGCCTGGAGAGCCGGCAGGCCTGGCAGTGGGGCGTGTGCGGCGACAACCTCAAGTATAGCACCAAGTTCCTGAACAACTTCCTGGGGCCCAAGAGAGGAAGCAAGGACCTGCGGGCACGGGCAGACGCCCACAACACCCACGTGGGCATGAAGGTGAGCATGCCCCTAGGCCACCCACAGCGCCTTGCCCAGCCTGGGCGCAGAGCCAGGGAACCCGCCCTCCCTGGGCGTCTACTCTGGACCACTGCTGGCCGCTGGGAGTACAGCAGAGTGGGGGAGGGTCCTGGATGTCATCGGCGGCTGGGTAGCAACGGCAGCAGGCTCAGAACTGGGCCTTAGTGAAGCAGGGACGTGTTTGGAGAGGGGTCTCCCTTCCGAGGACAGGGTCTTCCTAGAGGTCCTAGAAGCCAGCATAGTTTGACAGCTTTGATCTCGAGCAACCCCTGCTGCCCCTCCATTTTATGGGTGGGAAGATGGAGGAGGCCCAGAGAGGGGAAGGGACTCAGTGGAGGTCACACAGCAGAGAGACAACTGGATGGTATAAAGAATCTAGGTGTACGGGGGTGAGCAGGCTGGGTGAGGCCAGTGCTCCAGTTCCTTGGGAGACTGGATTCTGTGCTCTGTGTCCTCTGTCCTCATCTCTGAGTCGTGTAAACCAGGGCTGCTCTGTTCAGCGGTGTAAGTTGTCTACTCCACCAGAACTCTGGCCCGGCAGAGGAGCTGGGGCTGTGATCAGCCACCTCACCAAGGCATGCGTGCACACTGGCTGCCTCCGCCAAGAGGAAAGGGAGCCTTTGACCTAGTTGTGCGAAGGTGCCTCACGGGCTCGCTCGGGTCTTATTTGTCCCCCTCCATGAACCTCCCTGTGTCTCCTTCCCATCCTCCTGCCGCTTCCCTGCCGGGGTTGGTGCCCTGGGTGCGGGCTTGGGCTGCGGGGTCCGGGCCTCTGACCCCGCCTCCACCCGGCTCTTCTCGCAGGCTGTGAAGAGTGGCCTCAGGACCACGTGTAAGTGCCACGGCGTGTCGGGCTCCTGCGCCGTGCGCACCTGCTGGAAGCAGCTCTCCCCATTCCGTGAGACGGGCCAGGTGCTGAAGCTGCGCTACGACTCGGCCGTCAAGGTGTCCAGCGCCACCAATGAGGCCCTGGGCCGCCTAGAGCTGTGGGTACCCGCCAGGCCAGGAAGCCCAGCCAAGGGCCTGGTCCCCCGGCCTGGGGACCTGGTCTACATGGAGGACTCGCCCAGCTTCTGCCGGCCCAGCAAGTACTCGCCGGGCACGGCGGGCAGGGTGTGCTCCCGGGAGGCCAGCTGCAGCAGCCTGTGCTGTGGGCGGGGCTACGACACCCAGAGCCGCCTGGTGGCCTTCTCCTGCCACTGCCAGGTGCAGTGGTGCTGCTATGTGGAGTGCCAGCAGTGCGTGCAGGAGGAGCTCGTGTACACCTGCAAGCCCTAGGCCTGCTGCCCCAGAGCCAGCCGGGCACTGCCAGGACTCCCACGGTGCCCGTACAGCTGTTCAGCCTGCCCTCTGAGCAGTAGCACAGTGTGTAGCACAAACCAACGTGTGCGCCAGTGCACACGAGTGTGCGGCTCACCCCTCCTCTACCACCGCTCAGCCCGCCTTTGGCTTCCCTCGACAGCAAAGAGAAGCAAAGCCGGGCCCTGAACCCAAGGGTCGCCAGCCTTATTGAGGACTTGGAGCAGGAAGACAGGGTGCGAGAGGATGCGGAGGGAAAGGAACTCGAGAGGACAGCAGGACTGAGGTTTTGGAGGGGAGAGAGGGGCTATCCGGCCATCTTGGTTCCTGGGGTGAATGGCCGAGAGCCAGCAAGCTCTCAGGACCCAGGCTTCTGGGCGGGGAACGCACCGGAGGCGATGCTGGCTGGGAGCAAAGGCGGGAGCCTGCTTGGAATGGGTCGGTCCAGCCCTCCGGCCCTGCCCAGATGGCAGTGAGCACCAGGCGCCACTGCTCTGGCTTTGCCGTGCTAGGTGGCAGGAGCTGTTTGGAGGAAGGGAAGCTTTCTGGGCTTGAGTGGACCCAAGTCAGAGACGTGTCCTGGACCTCCCTGATCTGGGTTTTCAGATGTGCCTGCACGGAGGCCTCCTTCTCATCTCGAGAGCTGAGTTGTCCACAACCCTCCACCCTGCCCGGGGTGACTGCCAGTGGACAAGGCAGGCCGCGGTGGGACTCAGTGCACCCGAGGTCACATGGGGAGACAGCGACCCTCCTTGTTTTCCCTGGTGGCCAAAGGAACCTTTAATTCCAACCCAGAGGAGAAGAGGGACAGCCCTCTGGTCCCTGGCAGGGACACAGTGAGCTCAGTTTCTCAGCCATCTACTGAGTCAGCTTTGGTCAGCTCCCTGTGGCTGGGGTCTTCCTGGGCGGCAAGACCCCGCCACCAGCTGACTTTGTGACACAGACGACCAGCTGGCTCTCGGGTTCTGGTTCTGATTACCTTTCTGCTCTTACGGTTGTGCATCTAATTGGGGCTTTCGCCCTGGCTGGAGCTGTAGGCGCTGAGTCCTTGCCATGCCTGGCTCTTTGTAGCCCTTTCATTCGCTAATGGCCCCTCACTTTGGCCCCTACCTGAGAAGTAGAGGTAACTTTGCGAACTTCCTCGGATCCTGTGGACATTTCCAGAGCCACCTGCCAAGGCCCTGTGTGGGAGGAAGAGAGAGACGCAGGTACTCACGCACGGACAGACCCACCCCTTGGACCGGCCGAGGGCTCCCAGGGAGAGCACAGCCCTCTCTAGCTCACGACAGGGCCCTCGCAGGGGCCACTCTGCTGGAGGTTTGTGCCTCCCCAGAGTGGGGCCCCGTGCCAGCCAGGAGGACGTGACCTCCTTCGGGACGCCCTTGGCCGCTTTGCCAGCCCTGCCGCACCCCTCCGTCAGCTTCCTTTCTCCCTGAACCCAGAGGCGCTGACCTCCACTGCGGCAGGAAGCTTCGGAATCAGCCAGATGCTCAGAAACGTCATCTGTGCCAGCTCCGGGAGGAAGGCCCATGGCGGTGCCCGGCCGACTCCCTGAGACCCCCGAGGGCGAGGAGGCGCTGCCCTCGGCGGACCGGGGCAGCCTGCTGGATGCTGGCGGCATCTGTGACTGCACAGGCTCAAAGGAGAAGCCAGATGGACCCGAGTCCCCTCACTAGGCTGACTTTGCTGACCCAAGCAGCTGGCCGCATCTTGGCAGGAGGAGAGGGCGGAGGGCTGGTTTTCTGGGTCCTTCCACTCCCCCACCGCAGGGAGACTTTTCCTCTGCCGGCCTGATGCATCCCACTCCTCTGGCTCCACCCCGGCCCAGCCCCGGCCCAGCCCTGGCGTGAGGCAGCACAGACCCCGCTGGCAGGAAGAGAGGCCTGGGAACATCACAGCCACTGTGCCATGGTGGCAGGAGGGCAAAGGCCAGACTCTGAGGGACCTAGGCCGTGGCTGGCATTGAGGACCCCTCCACTCATGGGGTCCTCTCCGTCCGGCCCTCTCCCTGTCTTCTCCCCCCTTGTCCGCACCCCTTTCTTTTCCTGGTATCCCTAAAGACCCACCTCAGCCCTGCTCAGGCCCCTGGGGACCAGAGTGACCACTGACCCCTCATCTACAGCTTTAAGGGAAATGCTCACAGGGTATTTTTGTCTACCTCACGCATATAGTTTTTAGGATGAAAGAGAATAATTTATATAGCTAAGATATATGAGAAAGTATTTATGTTATTTATATAGTTGCTATATTTCACGGGCAGCACGCACGGCGTTTGTGCGTCCCCAGAAGCTCTCTGAGGAGACGCAGCCGGGCCTGACGGGGCCGCTGAGCTGGAGGCCTGGCGGCTGGGGAGGAGGTCGGGTGGGCTCCCGTGTCCAGAGCCCACGTCCCCTCTGCCGTGACCCCGGTGGGCTCGATCCAAACCGTCCTTGTGAAGTCTGTGGGTTCCCTGCTCTTCTGAGCAACAGGCCCCCTTCTGCTCTGGCAAAAGTATCTTGTTCATAATAATAATGACAGTAAGGATGACCACACCTGGCATTTGTAAAGCACTTTTGATGTTCAGAAACTCTTTTAGCCCTTCGACTTCACTCCATGTCTCCATTATCCCTGTGAGGTGGGTGGGGCTGCATTCCTGTGCCCATTTTACAGATGAGGCCCAGAGTCAGAGGCCTGTGCTCACAGTTGCCCTGAAGAGATTTGTTCACTGAGTATTTGCTGAACGTCCACGTGGACCAGGCGCTGTGGGAGCCCCGAAGCCTGGAGACCTTCCCTGGCTGGCTCTGCGTGGCCCTGGCCTTCTGCATCTGGATGGCAGATTGGCATTTCCCGCAGTGGAGTCCTACGTCTCAGGCACCGGGATTGCCTGAGAGGGCTGGAGGGACGAGGACCCCCACGGAGGCCACTCCAAGGGTCCTTCTGTCCAGGTTGCCCGAGAAGGCTGTACGACCAGCCTCTCCCAGCCCACAGATGAGTTTTGTTTGCTCTCACTTGTGTTTTTCTTTTAAAAATGAATAGTTTTCCACTGATTTCTGGCTTCTTTTGTAAGCTCAGCCGTGCTGGCAACCTGGGCCTGCCTTCCTAGCTGGCCACAGTCAGCCAGCGCTCGGGAGCCCTATGGGACAGGATGTGCGGGGGTCCCAGCTGCCGAGTGCCCCTGCTCCGCCCTTGCACACAGATGCCTGGCCCTCACGGGCACGCAGTGTCCGTCCCCTGGTCTAGAGAAGCCCAGCTCCCCTGGTGTCCTCCATTGCCAGACCGACAGACAGACCCTAGCCATCCCTGGAGGTTATTTCTGCTTTCTAAGGTTTCCTTTCTCAACAACCATAAACTTCAAATGCTTTTTATCTCAGCACACTTCAGAGTGACAGTGGGAGCTACCGTTGTTGAGCCCCCATTGTCCCAATGCCAACCCATGATCTGAGGGAGCTGCCACTCAGCACCCAGCATCACCCTGGGGACTGGGTACAGTTGTGAACCAGACCAGGCCCCTGCCTGGGCTCGAGGGCTGACGTCCTAGTGGGGGTGAAACCAATAAACTACACGGCAGTTATTTGTACTTATTTTGTCTCGACTTATTACAATAACCTTGCACATGGGACATGACCCCCTCACCCCCACAATGGTTAAGGAAATGGAAGTTGTGAGATGTGAAGGCTCCTATTTGTCACCAGCAAGCAGTGGGGTCGGGATTTGAACACAGGTCTGCCGGCCTCCAAAGTATGGGTTTCCTCTTCTCCACACTGGTGGAGGTAGGGCAGGGACAGATCACCCCATTTTATGGATTCTGGGCAAACCAAGGCCTAGAGGAAGGAAGGAACTCCATCCCAGGTTACACACCAGCTCAAGCCGGCTAGAGCCCACGTTCCTTCTGGGTTGGCGAGTATTTCTAGCGCCCTCACCCTCTGGCCAGCAGCACTGGGTGGCACAGGACACAGCAAAGCAGAAACGAGAGGCACAGACTTACAATGGTTTGGTCATTTACATGTCATCCCCAAGTTACTTCTCTGGCCATAGTGCCTTCCCAGCAAGCTCCTGGGGGTCTCGTGGGGGAGGAGGCCCCTTCTGGGCAAAGGTAGCAGAGAGCACTTGCCTCCTGACTCAGTTCTTTAGCCCTGCTGGGGCCCCCAGGGAGGTGGACAGAGGGGGGTCCACAGTCCCAGCCTGTGGTGCTTATATTCCCACCTGCACCCCCACCCTAACATGCTCCTTTTGCCCAGAGCTCCTGGGCCCGGAGACCGGCTGGCTCTGAGCAGTGACAGACATGTCCACACGTAGTGGCAGGCTCTAGTTCATCAAGGGATTCCTCACCTATTTTCTCTTTTCTCACTCTTCTGCCCTTTGTACAGAGAGGGAAACCAAGGCACAAATTGGTTAAGCGTCTCACGGAAGGGCCTCATTTCATTACCAAGTAGACCAGGTCTTTTGCCTTCAGACCCTGTGTTCCTTCTACCCTACTCTGCCTTCAGCCTCCTCCCTCCCCAGCCTGAGCCTTACTCAGCTCCTGCCCCTAAACCAGCCCCCAGCAGGCCCTCAGGCCTCCCAACCTCTGCTGCTGCTCCCTGCCGAGGACGCCTTCTGGGGACATCAGGGCTTGTTAAGAGCACTCTACACACCTTAACCTGTCTTTTAAAAACAGTCACATTTAGTACCTCTCTTTGCAGATGCATATGTATCTTGCTGAACCATTTGTGAGACCTTTGCAGAGGCCAGAACGCTTATATACTTCATTGTGCATCTCCCAAGAGGAAGAACATTCTCCAGCAGAACCACAGGCCACCATCACAGCCAAGAGATGTAACGTTGACACAACAGCATCTACTGCACAATCCACATTCAAACTTCCCCAATTGTCCCTCAAAATGTCCTGTATGATATCTTTTCCTGCCCCAGGGTGATTCTTGCCCAAATCTATTGTGAAATGCTTATTTTCTAATTCTATCACTTTTGTGTATTTATTAGTTGGCATTCTCCTATAAAGAAAAGCTTTCCTTTCTCCCCTATGCTCGGGGTACTCCTTTTAATCTTCACAATCACCCTGAATTATCATACCAGTAAGATTTATCATACCAGTTTTACAGGTGAGGAAACTGAGGTTTAGGGAGCTTATTAAAGCATTTGCTGAGTGAGTGGCAGAGCCAGGATTCAAATTTATTTATTTATTTATTTATTTATTTTTTTTATAACACAGAGTCATGTGGAATAGGATTCAAATTTAGATATTTCTCATGCCTAAGCTCTTGCCCACTGCCTTCTGGAATCTTCTCAAATTCCTGGGTTGCTTCTCTCACTTAGCTCTAAGCAGGGGTGGAGAGAACGTGTCCTGTCCCTTGGAAGTCCTGTAGAGGTGGGAAAGGCATTTACAGCAGCAGAGGGGTTGGGGGATGATTTCCTGTCTTGGAATCGTGAGTAGCCTCGCTCCAGCCCACCCCCAGCCCACCTCCCACCTTGGAGACTCATCAGTACCCGCGCCTCACTCCTCGCTGCCCTGAGACCCCCACCCCTGCCAGCCCTGCCCTGGCCCTTGCTGTGTTCTGGGCTCTATGGAGCGTCTGTGGTGACCCCAAGTCCTGGAGCCACTGAGATGGGCCCAAGGTCAATGACTCTGCCTCACAGCCCCCTAAAGCCACATGGAATGATCTCCCCACATGGCCACTGTCTAACCAACAAGCACAGCCTGCCGCAGCCCTGCTCTAGAAGAAAGGCTGGAAAAGACCAGAGGGGCGACCCATGATGGGATGGGGGACATTCTGGAGGGAGAGTGGTGGCGGGGGTCCTTGCCTGCCCCTATCCTTTCCTTTTACTTCCCATTCTTTATCCCAGCTCTCACCTGGTGTTCCCTCCTGTGACTGCTCATGCAGCAGACACTGGTCACCTACAGCAGGTGACTGAGGCATGTGACAGGGCGCCGGGTGCCATGGTGATGAGACCTAGTTCTGGCCTTCAGGGAGGTCACAGACAAGAGGACAGACAAGCAAAGAGATCCCCAGAGGGCAAGGTGTTCAGCGCCCCGAAGATGCGCTGCGTGACTGCCCGTGCACGGTGCAGCTGCGCTGGGCTGCGTCCTCACATCCCCCACGCAACCCCAGCGGCACACACAGCCATGCTCCCTGTGTTATAGATGAGAAAACTGAGGCTCGGGGAGGCTCCCTGCCATGACCAAGGCCCCACAATGAAATGCAGGGCTGGAAATCAAACAGCCTCTTCACTGCCTCTTCCCTAGGAGTGCAGGGCATGGCTTGTGCATGGCTTGTGCACAGCCTGGGGACAGAGAAGCAGCGGGGAACTGAGCTTCAGCCTGGCTGGTTCGGATCTTCCTCCCCTCTTGCTTGGTTCTCCCACTTCTCGCCTCTCTCCCCTCCCTCCCTCCCTCCCTGCATACTTGCAGAGTGGAGGCTCAGCCTCCTGCGTGTCTGTCACCCACTCCCATCCCTCCTCCAGTCCCCAGGGCTGTGGGGCCCACATTCCTCCCTGGCTCTCTAGGGCCCATTAGTGTGTTTACGCTGCAGCCATCT